AACACCGAACTCTAAGACTATGAGAGGTTTTCTATTTAAAAAGCAGCGATTCCCCTTGGTTACAGTCACCGGACATCAACATGATGCCACCGACTTGATTCTTTTTCTCTGATTATTGCGCTGCGAATTACACTAAATCCTTTAAATAGATCTTAGACCTCGGAGGCCTGTATTTTGGTCAGTGGGCCCACGCATCACATCGGTCGCCTCCGGCTCTTAGTGACACAGTGTTGAACTTTAGCTTAGCTTCATGCTAAATGAAACCTCACTATTCACAGAGCTACTGTTCCATATGTGACCAGTTTGATTGACCCTTATGATACAATAAGGGACAAATACAATAAAAGGTATTTGTCCCTCTTGAACTTTTTGACATCAATAAACACAAATTTTAACGTGTTTTACTGAGTTTTATGCTACGGATCAGGGGCCTCCAAATTCTGTAGGAGCCATTTTGCCCTCAGCGCAGCAGAATGAAACTTTAGGGCTGCAAATGTTTTATAAATGTCTACCCATCTATAAAAAATATGTCCTCAAGTTAACAAAAAACATAATTGTATTTCAGTGATGGCATTGTTACTTTGAAAAAGTAACTTTAATCGGATTACTGAAAAAGTAACTTAGATTACTGACTGCTTGATTTGGAAAGTAACTAAGTTACTTTAAAAGTAACTTTTTCAGCAGATGCTAACAAGAACAGCGCTCCACCAGCTGTGAAAATCACATTGATTAATTCTGATTCTGATTCCGAAAAAGAACTTCGTTTTCAGCCCAATGACAAAAACAGACCTTCAAAACATTAACACGTGTTTTGGAGTCATTTGTTTTGGATATCTACTGCAAGTATCCCATCAAAACAAATCTGAAATTCTGCTAAAACCTAATTTATATGTTATATCTTTATTTAGAGACATCCTTTTTGCAAAAGTCACTGTGGAAGGTCCAAAGAACCACTTGTGGCTCCAGAACCGCAGTTTGCAGGCCCCTGTTTCAGAGCAACATGAAGCATGGCTATCGATATGAATCTGAACTCCCCAAAATGAAAGACCGTTCCCCTATGGGGAAACCTGAATGACAGGCAGAGACCAGCTGTGTGTAAAATGACCTGCACACAGTTTTAGGGGTTTCTAAACATCGCCATTTGGAATTGGCTAAATTTATCACGATAAACGATACGATAAACCATCTGATAAAACCCAAACAATGACCATAAACGTGTCCATCCTGTCCACGTTCACTCTATTCCTCTCAGCGTCCTTACTGAAAGTCACATTTTCTAGTTCATCTGAACTGCGGGCCACAAAAAACAGGCAGAGAAGCAAACCCTGTATTATGTCACAGCGAGGGTCTCTCCTCTAATGCGGCTCCTGGCAGCCTGGCGGCGCTCGGAGCTGGCCTCCATCAGCCTCCATCAGCCTCCATCAGCCGCGGCGCTCACAGGGGCCGCCGCCAGAAAACACTTTGGGGCTCCCAGTGAACCACGCGGTGTCGGTGGAGTTTGGATCCTCACCAGGGCTGCATATGCGCCTCGTAAATGTTTAATTTCCCTCTCCGATTGTTATTGATGCGGGGAAGCGTCGGGGCCATCAGCAGCTTGTGCCTTTTGTCTTGTATTTATTTTTTTATATTCATGTAATAAATTGAAAGCGCGAGGTTCTCCCCTTTGAATCTAGCGATTTGTTGGGGGGGTTTTTCACCCAGAAATAGACGGGAGATGTGAGGAGAGTCGTCAGCAGCTCAGATCGCAGGTGCCTCAACCTGGATGAGGAGAGTTTGTCTGCCAGCAGCAGCAGAAACAAACCCAGAGGTGGATGCGGCGCACCGACACCAGTCGACCGGGGAGGGAGGGATGAAGGAGGGTAAGGAGGATACAAAGAAGAAGGGAAAGTGACAGAAGGTATCCTCCTTTCCCCCGCTTTGTTTGGACTGGGATGGATACATTTTCTCCCCGCCGCGAGTGTTTTTTCCATGCTGACTGAAACTCAGCGGGACTGAACCGGCAATTAGACAGTGAGGAGAGGAGGGGAGGGAAGAGGGGATGAGGGTGTGTGTGTGGGGGGCTCCGACAAAAATGTCTCTGGTGGAGAAGAGTGGGATCAAAGCTCGTTTTAAGGAAGAAAGGATGGAGAGGATGTGGGTGCAGGGATGGATAAAGAAAGCAGCGCTTTATCTTGCCGTTTGCTGTGCGCATGTCGCGTTAGGAGTGAATGTAATCCCCGCGCTCAAATCTGCACACGCGCGACGCGCAGTTTGTTTGCCCTCTGAAGTGTGCACGCTCTGCGTTCAGCGAGTACAAGTATTCAGACACGAACCACAAACTTGACGCGTGTCATTAGGATGGTGTGCTGTCATAACCCATTTTGTTTCCGGTTTTATTTCCGTTTTATTCTTTGTTTTTGGTTGTTTTATTTGGGATATTTCAAATATGCAGGAGTGTTCCTTTATTAGTCTTTGAGAGGGGCAGCTTGCATTGTTATCGATGTATCATTTGAAAATGATCTCGAAATGACAATATTATCTTTCACCGCAATAAGTAAGGGGGTAATTTATTGCCCACCAAAATTAGTTATTGTGACTAATAAGGTTTTCAAAAATGTTTCACAATTTTTTTTTTTTTTTTTAAATTGGGGTTACCTTTGTGCACAACCCTTTTTTTGCCCGATGCCCCTAAATAAAGTCCAGGACAGCACAGGACATTCTCAAACAAAATGGGTTTCAAAACTTTTAAAGGTTTTTAGAAGTTGTCAGCGATCAACCTGCCCTCTGCTACCCACATGAGCAAGTCAAAAGATATTGAAATAAATTCATTTTCTCTCGACGTTGTGTTTGATTTGGTAAATACCGGGGCTCTGGTTGACCTTTGGTCATCTCTGGAAACATTTATTAACGTCTTTGAAATGATCGAAGTACAAAGAAAAATGCTAGTTACGGAAACACTTGACACCAAATTTGATTGATTTGTGGAAGATAATTGTGTCCCTAAATTTTATTTTTTTTTAAATCAATCGTATCACAGCAGGTTTTATTTGCACTCTGCCAAATTCCATCAAAGTGAAAAGATATTCTATATTGTTTAATTTTATCTTCTCATCTAACACTGAGACAGCTATTTATTTAGAATCAAAGTTTTATCGGTACCTTCTGCCCCAACTTGACATTTAGGGACATTCGTGTTCTAGATGTGGCCCAAAATGAAGATGAGTTCTACAAAGTATTGACTCAGATGAATAAACTAGAAATGCACGGATTGCGGTTTTCCTGGCCGATCCCCTACTCTTTTTTGTTGTTTTTTTCTGAAATGTTGCAAAATATATATACAAATAAAGTTGCTGAGTCGGCAACAGCGGAGCAACTACTGCTAGCTGCAAATGTGCAGACACGACCCAGCGGGCCGGTCTGTCAGCCAAACCTCTCTCACAGGACAGCAGAAGAGAACAGAGGCGGATTTTTAGACCTTTGCTGATGTAGATGAGATCGGTGGATAACATCATCTTCACACGTATTTATCGGCCGATCACCGAACTCCCAAAATGAAGAAAATCGATGCCGATCATCAGTGTATCCCGAGACTAAACGTAACATAAATGTAAAACATTAGAACAGCTATTTCCCTTCCTCTTTCACCGTTTTGCCTCTACGTTGCGCTGGTCTTTCCTATGAACTGTAAATGACATGTAACATGACCGAACGTGGGAAATGGATGGGAATACTGTTACATTAGACATTACAGCAGTGTCGATGCTAGCACTGTTGCCTTGTGGGGTTTGAATCCCAGTCTGGGGCTTTTTGAATTTCCCCCAATCTAAGCGCGGGTTCTCTCCTGGCTCCGTCCAAAACCAAACAGGTTGATCTATTAGTAGGTTTCCCGTAGGAGTAAGAATTTGTGTGCGTGGTCGTTTGTGGTGCTGATGTACCGAGGGTGTTCTTTGAGTTGACCAATTCCACCCTGGGAGATTTTTGTTTTTTTTCACCAGCACGTCTTGTAGCTGAAAATGTAATAAATAAATAAATAAAAAAAAGAAGAAGAAGGCTTGGATAAATATATGCAAAATTTGCCGCTCACATTTCAAAACAAACTGCGCTGCGGCTCCAACTTAAAGTCAAAGCTTCAGTCGTCTTGAGTATCTGGGGTCGGCAGCAGAGGTTGCGAGTGAGCTTTGTGGATTATCAGCATGTGCAGATTTGCCTCGAGGACGTAGAGACGCGAGAGTCTGTGGTCAGAAGTCTGGATGTGATGAAGGCTGAGTAATCTCTTTCGCCTCCTATTGCTGTATGTTTGGCCTTTTGCCTATCTGTCTATCTCGCTCATATCCTCTCTGCCATTAAATACTGAACCACGATTCTGCACCAGAGAGCAAAATATTAACAAAAAAAACAAACTGGGGAAGAGAAAATAGAGCTGAGAGGAAGAAGGGGGAGACGGGGGAGAGAATAAGAAATGCAAGCAGATGGGCAATCTGTGTGAGCGAGGTAACTTGATGAAAAGAGCAGAGAAACAAGAGAAAGAGGTGGTTTAAAGGGTGGAGGCAGATGGATGTAGATGCAGGACAGGGAAGAGGCAGATGGGTGGAAAGGACTGAAAGATTATACAGACGGATAGTGGCTGGGTTTGCAGGATGTGATTAGAAGTAATATGACATTTGCAGGGCCACTGTCTTCATCAACGTTGCTTTTTTTATTTTTTCCCCCTTTGGATGATAGCGCCAGTGGCGTGTTTGGTCCAGTGAGTTAATTAGCTGCATGCATCAGTACTCGCCCATGGTCCCATATGCATGTTCCACACCTGGTGCTATTTCCTCTCACATTCACAGATTCACATCCTCCCCAACCCCCCACCCTCCATCTCGACACGACTCACCCATTCCGCGACATTCTGGCGTTTCGCGTGCCAGACCGCCGAGGAGCGTTGATGAGTGATACCTGCGTCGAGCGGCCCGTGGCTCGGTGTCGCCCCCAAGGTGCTTCTGGGGATTGTTGTCTGTCTCTGTTTTGTTCTCCAGCTGCACACCGACATGGACAGAGGGGACGGGCGCACCAAGTACATGCTGGAGGGGGAGGGAGTCGGCTCTGTGTTCGTCATCGACGGCAACACGGGCAACATCCACGTCACCAAGGCCCTGGACCGCGAGGAGAAGGACGAGTACCGGCTCACGGCGACGGCCACTGACAGGGAGACGGGCCGGGCCCTGGAGCCCTCCTCCGAGTTCATCATCCGGGTGCAGGACATCAACGACAACCCGCCCATCTTCCCCGACGAGCCCTACATTGCCATGGTGCCGGAGATGGCCAACATAGGTACGCCGCCGGAAGGGGAAGAAAAGTGACTCTAGTGGCGGTTGTTGTCCTGGAGAGTTTAGCCTGGCAGAAGATTGAGACCGACTCTGAAATGCGTTATCACTTTTAGTCACTTCTGCCCAAATCAGTAGTGCGTGACAGTATGAGACAGTTAAGCTATGAAATCGATCTTCTCCATCTCTCCTCCATAAGCTAGTTTAGCGAGCTGCAAAAATGCACCAGTCCAAAACAACCAATCAGAGGCAGGAGGAGAGTCTTATCACTGTCAATCATGCTCATATACATGCTCTTAAATCTGCTAATGAGGAGAAACGGCTCACCGTTACAAGAAAACTGCTCATCTGCTGTCATTGATGGCTATGCTAACCAGCTTTAGCATTGACAGCAGCTCCTCAACTGATGGGGAGAAGCTGCAGAGTAGCAGAGCTCAAGGGGGCGGGTGTGAGCAGCACTACATAAGAAGATTGACAGCGCTGAGACCCTCCACCTGGCTCTGATTGGTTGTTTCTGCCCTAGTTGTGTATTTCTGTAGTTAGCACAGGAAGAAGGTACAGAAGCTTCTCTGCTACCATTCTGCAAAGTCTGAGTTTCAACAAATATGTAAAAAAAAAAAAAAAACCTATTCGAATAAAACTTTCATTCTGTAGCTGTAAGTGATTGATGGGATCATCTGTTCTGACCTAATTGTTTTTCTTTAAAACACAAAAGCTTGGAAACAACAAATAAGTTGTTGGTGGTTTGTTTTAGCCAGTTTGCTGCAACAAGTGGGGCAGGGGCAAATGCTGCACTACTCACTGACCCTGACAGTGAGTAGTGCAGTAGTGTAAGGGTCAGTGTCTTTTTATTAAAATGACTTTGATGATATGACATAACATTTGATCTGTTTTGAAACTGGATCTAAAGCCTAAGGATGCTTTGGTGTCAGTATTTGATCAGTAGAGATTACATGTGCTTCTGCTGCACCAGATGCTAAAATTCACCCACGCTAGCTTGCTATTATGCAGCAGGCACAAACCTGAGATAAACCTTGCAGTGATGTAAGGATCTTCTTTTCCTGCACATTTGCTCGTGCTCGTCGAAGTTTCAGTTGTGGTAAACATTTAGATCTTTGCTCTGACTCTCTGGATCTCAAGTGCGTCGCTGTTTTCTTGTAGATATGTTCTGGCTAACTAAAATCTTCCTGAATTTTAATTTCCAATTACATTTATTTCATAGGAATATTTATGCCTACTGGCAATTGTGACACTTTTGGTTTTGCTGCTCCAGTATGAGGATTTTCACCCCAAAGAGTTTTCTTATTTTCCAGCTGCAATAAAAGGTTTATTCCTTTTAAGACGAGCAATAGATTTTTATTTATTTATTTATTTATTTTTATTTTATCAGTGGTGCCAATTAGTCTGCAGGGTGCTGCATCTGATCACGGACTCTGCATTATAATTTGTCACACATTTCATCTGAGGAGCATAAGATTATCTAACAGCCTGTCCAACAGTGGCTCGCACATTTCAGCCAGGATGAAGCAGTGGACTCAAAATCAAACCAGTTGTCGATTTTCGGATAGCACTTAAACTTTTCTGTGCAAAACTCGAACATCAACTTTCACTTCAAAGACATTTTATTCTGGTCTCTTAAGCCGATTTTAATTACAGGTCTGCTGTTACTTGCTGAGTTTTCTCAAAGCCTTTACATTTTGGCTGCTGTTTCTTTCACCGTATCCCTGACATCGGCAGCATGTTGTCGCACGATAGACCGGGAAGATGCAAGTTTCAGGGTAAGATTTTCTACAAAGTCTGTGGACATGTGAAACTTGACGTCCTGGTTAATCTTTCTCCTTCTTTTGTTGTAATTTGTCCTTTAATCAGCTCCTGTCTCAAATGTGAGCTCTCTACAGAACTTTCAGCCGCGGTTTTCTTCTTTTTCGTCACCTTTCTCTGTTTCAGTTTGAGCCAGACGACAGAGCAGCGCATGAACTGAATAAAATGTCGGTCCCTCTAAAACTCGCAGAAGAGCTTTTTGTAAGGGGAAGTGACGCAGAGTGGAATCGCTGGGTTTGATACGGGAGATCTTCACTTCATGCCAAGTTGTTCTGAAAACCATTTGCTCTGGCTGATGAGCTCCATCAGGGGGATTTTCAGGCCTCAAAAACTGTTCCCTGCAGAATTGCTGCATCCTGCTACCTCCGCTAAAAAAAAGAAGAAGAAGAAAAAACGATTCCCAGGCAGACTGACTTATAATACCACCAAGGGGGAAGCTTTGAAATGAAACTCTGTCTCAAATATGAAAAGCTGAACCCCTGGCGACCTCAATGCAACTTCTGTAATTCTGAATCTGATCGGAGAGGTTGTTTGGGAAAAGCGAGGTTCAAACAAACTCCAAGTCTGCGCGGCAGTCCGGGTCAACCTCTCAGGTCCAGAACGGCTGATAGTTCAGATAACTCTCAGAAAAGCTCAGGTTACGTTTGTAAAAAGTGTCAGAACTGACTCATTGATTCATCATGGCTACTGCTGGAAGAATAAAGTGACGATGCCGGTGCTAGCTAGCCGGTCATCTTCAGTTTGTTACCACGGTGATATATTTAGTTTCCTGCATGGAGCAAAAAAAAAACAAGCAAACAAAAAAGTTTAGGCTCAACTTTCCTAGCGTGTTCAGTGTGAGACTAGCGTGTGATGTCATCAACCGAAGCAAGATTAGTCTCTTTTTTTTTCTTCAGAGAACCTTTTAATGAGAGATTTTATCAAATCTGCCAGTGGAAATCTCTATGACAGCATCATAGTGTGTAGTATTCAGGAATGTGAAGCTGGTGATTGAATATCATATTCCTGGTTGCCAACTAAAAGCAGATTATTTCACTTATAACAATACATGGGAAAATGTCTTGTTATAAATAATTAAAAAAACTGTTTATGCAAGTAGGTATTGAGGAATTACGTACTTAAAACAAACAAATATTTTCTGAAAAGTTACTTGTATGTTGGTTTTGTCTCATTTGAAGAGCAAAACCAGGACAAAATTACTTTGTAAGATTTTGTGTTTTTCTTTTGCAGTGAAATAGTTTCTTTGTGACAGACTGTCGATAACAAAGATCTCATTTAAAATAGCACCAGCTAATCCCCTGAGGCTTTTTTATTTATTCATTTTTTTCCTTTTTATGCCACAGTGTCCCTTCAATGTTAAGTGGCCTTTAAGGCAACACGATGGGGTCAAAGAGAGTGAAGGAAAGCTGTCGAAGTTTGAAGAAAAGCTTTAGAAAATGTTCAGAAAGCCCAGAGGGAACCGCTGATCATCACCGCTCCGCCAGTAAATAACAAGAAAATCTGGTTCTGCTGAGGCTGAATGTAAAGAAATTGGCTTCAGATTGCCGTAAAGCACAATGTAGAATCACATTTTCACTTGTGAAGAAGTTTTATTCGTATTAATTAGTGTTCCTTTATGTGTCATATAAATGTAATGTTTTTTGAATCATAGTCAAGGTGTTTTTCTGTGCAGCTGGAAACGGTGTACAAACTAATGAAACACAATGTGTCTACTGAAGTAAGTTTCCAGGTTTCTGAACTTCCCCACAGTTATTGGGAACTCGCTGTTTTTCCCGTGGCCTTCTCTGCATGGAGATAGAGTGTGTAGTTTTCACCTCCCATAGACATTACAGTGAATGAGCATACAAGGTTCCATATGTTTTCCTTTGTTTCTTTTGTTTGGTCTTCGAAGATTGAGTCTCCGCCTCGGTAGTAAAGAGATGAATAAAGTAACTGTGCAACTCTGGGTTCCTCAGAGCGGATCCTAATTTGTGCCTAATGCAGTGTATTTCTTGCTCTCCGTCTGCAGATGTATTAAAGATTGTTTTTGCTCCCTGACTTTTGTCTGGACCTCAGTCTCTGAATTGTGCACTTCACACACTTGACGTATTTTTTTTCCACACTTGGGCTGAACACAGCGCTCCAAGCATGAGATCAAGGATGACATTCAGAACATTTTGTGAGCAGCAGAGAGGCAGGAGGAATTGCATTATCCCGTTTGGCCTGACAGATTTAACTACTGAACATTAAACATCAGGTCCAAATATTTTGGACCTAATCATAATCTCATTCTAATGTCTTTTGTGTTTCACAGGCACTTCCATAACCCGGGTCACAGCCACAGACGCCGACGACCCGACGTACGGAAACAGCGCCCGGCTGGTCTACGGGATTTTGCAGGGCCAGGACCTGTTCTCCGTGGATCCTCAGACAGGTTTGTTCACCGTCGGCAGCAATTAGTGGCGTTTCATAGTCGGCTTCTTCAGCTGATGGGAACACTTTCCATAGTTAATCCTCTTCATATGGTTACGTTTTATCCGTTCCCACCATATGTTCAGCAGAAAACTCGATTTCTCTCTCTCTCTCTCTGAGTCAGTTTAGGGAAAGAACGGTGGCCTGGAGTCGTATGTTTGGAAATCTCGTTTTAAAATGTATGACTCGCCTTGACGCTAACGCGAGGAGACGGGGGCGTCATGTGAAATCTGGAGCTGTTGTGATTCTTCTTCTTCTTTTTTTTGTTGTCCCTGCTTCCCTCTCCACCAGGCATCCTGCGGACCGCCGTACCTGACATGGACAGGGAGACGCAGGACGAATATCTGGTGGTCCTCCAGGCCAAGGACATGGCGGACATCTGGGTGGGCTGACGGGGACCACCACCGTCACCGTGAAGCTGAGCGACGTCAACGACAACCCGCCCCACTTCAGACGCAGTGAGCGGATCCGCCTCGTCAGCCGCAGCGGCTTCCGATCGTAGACGTAGTGAGGATCACGAGATGATAAAGCGTCCTGCGATGACAGAGAGTTCGGATAGTTTTCGCCTCGTTTGGGTTCGGGTTGAGAGCTGAGCGTTTCTTACCGAGTCGTCGTTTTGGAAACTCGCTCTCACATAGCATGAGCTGCAGAGGAAGCGAGGTCGCTAAAGCATCAACAGCCCTCTGTCAGATTACAGCCACGAACATAAACATACTTTAATGGGGTTTTATGTGATCGGGCAGCAAGAAAAAAAAAGAAAAAAACATTTTCAACATTTTGAATTTGAGCTGAAAAGTGTGGCATTCACTTGTTTTCAGCCCCGCTGAGAAACGCTGTTAAAGTGGATGACGGAGCCTCTGTGCACAGCAGTTTTTAAGTCTTTGCTGCAAATTCTCTTTCAGATTGAGATCTGGGCTTTGACTAGGCCATTCCAGCACATAATTGTGCTTTGACATGAACCATTCCATTGTTGTTTTGGTTGTGTGTTTTAGAGCTGTTATTCTTCTGGAAAATGAAACTGGCCCACAGCTTCATGGGGTTTGTTGCAGGTTTTCTCCCATGATTTTCTCCAAATAAAACAGTTAAAGGGATCTTTCACTCTGACCTCTTACAATCTGGTGCGTCATTTGTTGGTTTGGAAGCTCAGCTTCAAGACTATTCCTTCAGTTTTATGCTGTTTGTGGACCGGAGTTCTCCGTTAACTCTTTGGGGTCCTTAAAGGGGCAGAATTACAACCGTAAAAACCGCTGTTTTTAGACAGAGGCCAATTTCAACCCATGTTTGCTGTGTCTCCTATTTATCTTAAGGCTGTCTGTCGTCTGTCCGGTTCTGTTGTTTGTCCCTGATCAGGAGCGCCGGTTCCGGTCGGTTCTCGTCTGCTCTTCCCTCGTTCTGATGAAGAATTGAACTCTGATCTTTAAATCTCAGCGCGTTCGCTGCTCTAGTCTGCTGCACGAGTTTCTCTTTGACATTCCCGCCTTAACTTTTTGGTTGTCCTGATGCTTTTTTTTTTTTTCTGTCAACACAAATATTTGCTCCTCGTCTCTGTTCATCGCATTAAATCCCAATAATACACAGAGACATTTGGGGTTACAACATGACGAAATGCGGGGAAAGGTTATGTGCGAGTACCATTTTATTATTTTTTTATTTTATTTTGCAAGGCACTCCACGTAAGCGTCCCATATTGGTCCCCAACGTTTACACGGACTGCGTCTTGATGCAGAAGAGTGAAAGATCATGTCCCCTTTTCTTTTCCCCATCAAAGCTTTTTCCCGGTTCCCCGCTATTAATATTTCATCTTATAGTTCAGTGCTTTCTGCTTCAATAGACAGCAAAATCACTGCAGAATGTGTCCAACACTTTCAGCAAAACCCTGCATTTCTTTATATACTACCTCTTCCCTGTGTGCGTTTCCGCCCCCGTCTCTACTCACTGCCATTCATCTTAATGTTTAAAGCCCCCCACACCACTGCCTCTTTTTTTCTTATGTTGATATATTGTGCTGCAACACAGGCATTTTATGAAAGCAATATTATAACTCCCGACAGCACCAGCATGTTATTTATTTACTGATATCTGATGATATAAACCCCCTTCACTGCAGGGCGTTATTTTCACTTTGACAATAACGCCACAGTTTTAGCAAACGGCTCATTTGGCATGCTCTTTGAAAGCGAAGGGCGTGTTTTTATTTACTTATTTATTTTTTACAATGTGTGTGTTTATGAGGAGGAGGCACCAATTTGATTAAGGGGAAGTTTTTCCTCAGGATTTGATTTTTATTTTTTTTTGCTGCTGTGCTGCATCAAAACAAGCAGCGCTCGTTACGAGATGCCAGGTAAACGCCGCCGCCGGTCGCTGGCTGTCTCAGTGAAACAGTGGCAGTAGAACAGGCCGCGGCTCCGTTAGGAAAGCTTCAGCGTTTGTGCCAAATACTGGAAAAGCTACGTTTAGGTTGACGCGCAGTGGGGGTGAAAAACCCCCAAAAAAACAGTTTATCCATTAAAAATGTTTCTATCTTTGTATTGGAGTCTCTCAACTCTACCTCAAAGAAGATTTTTCTCTCAAATTATATATTTTTTGCATTCTAGGAAAAAATCCACAGAAAGTTGTTTTGTGTCTTTTTATCATGGAAGCACGTCACTCAAGTATTTTGTATCTACTTATAAGATTAGTCTAAATTCTGTTTCACATTTCAGAAAAAGAAATTCAAAGAAAAAACCATGATCATACATGCAGGCCAGAAGTTGGATGATGCCTCAAACTTGGACAGTAAAAAGTATCGGTATCGGTATTGGCGATACTGGGCTTGTATTTAACAAATTTAGTTTCATACTTTTTTCCTTTGGTAAATGTTAATCTTTATTTGAAAATGTAACGTTTTGACATTCAGCGGTATTAACCGTCATTGTTTGATGCTCTTCCTTTATGAAGTTAATTTAATGTCAACATCAATTGATGATAATGAGCTTTAACTATAAATTCTTCATGAAGAATTTAACCTTTTTTTATACCCACATACTGTCAGTCGCGGAAATATAAACATGCAGCTGTTTGACACTTAAGACTTTGAGCTTCAGTTGAAATACATCTCCATGTTAACACAGAGTGATCAGCATCATCCTCATGTCTGTGATTCTTAGGCGGCTCAGTTTCCATTTCCTGACCGGAACTAAAGAAACGACGCTGAATGTTTGAGAATAATTGGTCTGAAACCAGAAGTTTTTCAGCGTTTGAGGACGGACATCCAAGAGCAGCTCCGGGCTTTTTAAGAGACGGAGATCGGAAATAATTTCAGTGATAGTCAAACGGCATGGCTGAAATGTTTGAGTTCAGATGGAGTAGTACTGGGGAGAAACCAGAAACCTGCATAAATTATAGAACGCAGCTTTTAAAGAGCTCTGCAAAGTATTTAAACCCTTGAAATCCATCACATTACAATTTCAATGAGTTTCACTGGGATTGTAAGCGATGGCCTAACACATAGTAGATCGTAATTATGAAGGGAATTTGTTTATTGTTATACAAATGGGAATTCTGGCCCCGTGTGTCAGTAATCTGTTCAGCCGCTTTGTGCTGGAAGACGCTTTTGGTGAATTTTGGCGACTTTAACGTTGCATACCAAAACAGCAAACGAGCTCAATGGAGATTATCTGAGAACATCCGCTTTAAGACTCCGGGATGGACATGTCTGAACTTTGACTTGGCCGTTTCCAGCGCAGGATGTACTGTGAGCGAACTCACTCCACTGCTAATCTGAATGTTTAGGGTCGTTGTTTCCCAAAACAAAAACGGCAATCAAAAAAAAAATAAATAAATAAAAAACGTTTTTGGTTTTTTTACGTTTTTGCTACGTCCTGCCAACACGACTTGTGGTTAATTGCAAATGAGTTTCCTATTACTTTCTTTCGACAGTGGCTTTCCTCTTCTCTCTCCTTCATGAAGTCCAGATTTGTGAAACGTATCAACAGACATGTCGCACACCTGTAATCTCACCTGAGCCGGCGATCTCTGCACCTCCTCCAGAGTCACAATGGGCCTCTTGGCTGCTTTTATAACTAACGCTCCTCCTGCTCCTGCTTTAAACCTCCACCCACTTGAGGCCAGCTACAAAAGACAATAACAAAAAAGTAATAATATAATTTTTTTCTCAAAATTTTAACCAAATAATTCTAACACTATTTATGTCCAAATACAAATAATTATGTTGTTAGGAAATAATCACATAACTGTTTCTTCCTTGTTAAAGGATTTGTAAACCTGCATGTTATCCACACTGAAAGCTCGTTCAAAATGTATTTGGCAGATTTGAGTAGTAAGTTGCATAAGCAATTCTGATTTTGAGGGAAAAAAAGTCAGAAATCGGGATTTAAGTTCATTCATAACATTGTGATGTTGGTGCTGGACTGGATGTCATTCAGAGGAGTCGAACTCAAACGCATGCCGCACTTTTTAGTTTATTCATTCGTAAATTTTGAGAACCACCTTTTCATTTTCAATCTGTTGCATAAAATCCTAATAAAATTTAGAGTTTGTGGTTGCTTTGTTAAAAACTTTCAGGAACATAAATGTAAACAGTTCAAGTAGGAAAGCAAAATAAAACAATCATGGAGTTTTTCTCCCTTTTTTAAATGAAATATAGACGATTGTTTTAATAAATGAAAAAGTCCTGTTTTCAGGAACAATTTGTTCTGGGCAAGTGAAATTTACTTGTACAGCACATTTCGGCAACAGATACCAATAAACAATACAATTTGAAAAATGTCATCAGAATTATGAAGCAAATATTCATCAGATGCATTGATCCATGTTCCAGTTATTATGAATCAAATGCTAACCAGCTGAGGTTTTGAGCTTTTAACTTAAAGAAACTTAAAAATGTAAAGTTTTCTGAAAGTTTGCTCCAGATCTGTGGTGCATAGAAGCTGAATGCTGCTTCTCCGTGTTTGGTTCCGGTTCTCTTTGTGCGAACGTTACCCCAAAAGCGGCATTCGTCGTCTATGCACCTCAAATCTGGAATGAACTTCCAGAAAACTGTAAAACAGCCGAAACGCTGACTTCCTTTAAATCTCGACTAAAAACCCACGTGTTTACAGTTGTATTCGAAACGTAATCAATTACAAATTTCATGATGGAACTTGACTTACTGTTATGTTTCGATGGTTGATTCTGTTGCGTGGCTTTGCGTTTTTGTGTTTGTTTGGCAAAGCAACTTTGAAATGCCTTGCTGCTGAAATGTGCCATACAAATAAAATTTGATTTATCGAGTGGTAGCCTGCAGAGTTAGTCTCATGCGTCTCTGCACACAATAACATATCGAGGATACAAGTTTTTCGCTTTAGGACACAATTAACAGGGTTTTTTGTTGTTTTTTTTTATTCAGCCGTGCCGCGCACCGGCCCTGTGAAACTGTGAGAAACCAACATCTGATGATATCGCAGCGAAAAGACGAGGAGGCTCAGAGCAGCACAGGAGGAGTGTTTTTCTTTTTATTATCGATAAATGACATCTCACTCCCCTTTATCACAAAGCTGTTATTCGCTTAAACTTCACTTCTGTTTTTTATTGAATACCTCTCTGCAGTTGTTACAAATTAAAGGAATATATTAGGGTTTCTATCCCATAAAACGCTTAGGACACCAATCAACAGGGTTGAGGCAGCTTAGCTGGGTTTTATTGTCCAGACTCGTGGCCATCAAACTGCTCAAGGTCATTCTGGTGGCGTTCAGCACAAACCTGAAATCTATCATTGCGTTTAGCTTCAGGGCTGCGGCTAACAATTCTGTTGGTAGTCGATCAATCGAAACTAATGACGATCCTCATAATTAAAAACATCATGCACATTCTGCAGATGTCCCATTTAACCACTTAAGCTTCTTTTGTGCAATATAAGAAATACATTTAAAATATTTAGATGATAATTTCCTTTTTAAATAAGAAAATAAATATTTTTAAGCCTAAAATGCAGCAACTTAGCATTTATTTAGTAAATGGTTTATTATTTGTAGGTAAATGTACTTCAAATATCTGAAAAGTTTGGCTTTACATCAAATATGCTATAATAAATGGCATTTAAGATTAGATTATTAGCTAATAGCTGGATGTCAAATGGCGATTAATAGATTTGTTTATCCAGATTTCTGAACCAGGTGAAGCTAAAACTGACACTTTATATCTGGGCAGAATATATTTGTATAGAGAAGTTTTCTTTTAATCTTAAATGCAGAAGTCACATAATTTTTTGCAAAGTTTTGTCTTAATTAATGCTCCGAATATATTGGTCTTTTAGCTGCTGGTCTTTGTCTGAGTCTGCATGTTTCAGTAAACGATTAATTGTCGACTAAATTAGCTGACGATTATTTCAGTAGCCGATTCGTCACGGTTAATCTGATTAATCGAGTTTCATTTTAATTCCATGTCAATTAATTCTGTTTTCTGCAGAACAACGTCTACAGTTGACCAACAGCGTCTGTTAGAAATTAAAAACATTAATTTGGAGACTTAGAAGCTTCATACATTTTGAAAAATCTACTGCAAGAGCCAAAAACACTTTATTAATACACAAAGTCGTTTCATTATTTTGGTTAAAGTGAATACTTTCTAAAAAAAAATTTTACTACTGCCTCATAAACATGTTTACTCCCCTTCTCTCCAACCACAGCAGCTCTGTATAATTCATTTTTCCCAGCAGAAACAAGTTTACCTACATTAGCATGGCTTCAAGACGAAATACTGTTCCCCGAATGATTTACTGCGATCGTCGCACCGACCGATCGCTCCTGCAGCACAAGCAGACCCGTGATATACTGCGAGAGCCATGATACAGAGCGAACAATGCTCCAAACTTCATCATGAAATCTGCGCAGGGGGAGCAGCTGCATGCATCAGCGTAATGCCAGCTTTGTTTCGAGTCCAAACGGAGCCAGACAGCGTCCTCATGAGCATTCAGTGCCAGATCTCAAACTGCTCCATTCATTGTGGCCTCCTCCCTCCCCTCCCACCCCACCCCCCCGCTCTCCGCTGAAGGTGCGTGGTCGTTCTCTGTGTCGGAGCTGGCTGCACCAGGTGTGGAGGTGGGCCGTCTCACTGCCACCGACCCCGACCTGGGAGAAAACGCGCAGCTGGAGTTCACCATCCTGGACGCGGAGGAGGCGGAGATTTTCAACGTCACCGGCAGAGCCAGAGAGGCCGTCATCGTGCTGAACAAGGTGAGCGGCTTTGGGTCATTCACTGTGGTACCATGTTGTCGACCAACACAAACTATAAATATGGAGACAGTCATACATGGAATGTAGAAATGTGTCACACACACTTCATTAAGCCCCCAAATTTAGCAGCTTTTTACAAAGATAAACTAAAAAGTTAGAAAATAAAACCCAGTAAAAAATTCCTTATTACAGATTTTTTAAAAATACTAGTTCAACTGGCAAATTATTTGACTTATGATAAAATAAAAAAAACTTTTCCATGTCTTAAGTCAAGTGACACCAAAATTAAGAAATTATTCACTTAGAACAAATCTTCACATCTTGCTGAGACGCTGAGTCTTATTTCCAGTGCGCCGAGTTATCTGCAAAAGTTCTTAGTGAGGTTTTGTGTTTCTGCAGTGAGCAAATGAAAACAGCATGCCAGACACGGCAGTCCACCTAAACTGACAAGCAAGCAAGAGGCCCCATAGTGACTCTGGAGGAGCCGAGATACACAGCTCAGGAGGGAATCTGTTAGTCACCCGCTCTGCAAATCTGCTCTTTTATGAAACAATTGTCGCAAAGTAGCCGTGACAAAAAGATGAGTCCATTTGTGAGCCTGCATGCAAAACGTTGTGTTTAGTAGAAAAGACTAAAAATGACAGAGGGTCTTGCTTTACAATGCTTTCTAGGTAGGTAGGTAGTTTGTCTAGCTAACTACACTGCAAAAACACTAAATACTTTTGCCTGGTTTCTAGTGCAAATATCTTATTACACTTGAAATAAGACAAAAAGTATCTTACAAGTAACTTTTCAGGAAGATGTAGGAGCTGGTTTTCAGTATTTCACTTGAAACTTGGGAAAAATGTCTTGTTATAAGTGAAATAGTCTGACAGAGAAGCAAGTACTTTTTAATCAACATCAAGGAATCATTTAGTTAAAACAAGCTTCTACATATTGCTGAAAAGTCACGTGTTGGTTAGTTTTGCTTTATTTCAAGTGTACTAAGGTGTGTGCACTGGACTCTAGACCAAAATTGCTTAACAAGGTTTTGTGCTTCTGCAGTGCAGCGAGTTTTTTTACGTGCATCATGGCTGAGTGTAAATTTATTGGCAGTTAGCTGGGCGATGTTCATCTTAACCACTGACTCCTTTCTGTTCCCAACCTGTACAATTCATTTATTTGCTTTTTTTTTTGTGTGTGTGTGTGTGTTTTTCTGTTGTGCTACAAGTCTTAAAAATGTTTTAAAATTCTCATATTCTTTGTGACAAGACTTTAAAACTGAGGTTGAAGCCTGAGCTCATTCACAAAGAAGAAATGTCCTGAATTTCTCTCTGCAGACGTGCGAAGCTGATGGAGACGCACACCAAAAAGCTCCCAAAACGGTGGTGAAGATGGCTCAATAAAGTATTGACCCAGAGGAGCTTTGGACATATTTTTAAAGCGTGGAATAGTTTCTTTACCCACCACTTTGTGTTAGTTCACACACAAAATCCCAATAAGACGCACGGACATTTGTGGTTGTAAAAGATGAAGCTGGAAAAAGTTGGAGGGGTTTGAATAGTTTTTCAAATCATTGCATCAGCAACACTTTAAACATCTTCTGCGGAAAGTGTGAGCCCACCAGTGTCCTGAAGGGAGTGATAAATGAGAAATCATGAACTAGACATCAGCTGGTCAGAGGCTCATTGGAAGTGAGGTCCTGTTAAAAGAGCAGGATTTTGACTTTTAGGGCTTTTGACAATATTCGGTGAGATTATATAAGAAGGATTGAAGGAGAAGGTGAGGCTCGTCCTTAATTAGTCGGGGGAAATCAGCCGAGCTGCATAAGAAAGAATGAATGGAGGAAATGAATGATGAAGTCTTCAGCTGGATCAAAACCAGAGCAAAAAATAACTCAGTTACGGTTTTTTTCTCTCTTTTCTTTTTGCAGCTTCTGGATTACGAAATGCGTAATTCGTATACTTTTTCCGTGGAAGTGGCGAACCCGGTCGTTGACCCCCGGTTCATACGGAAAGGGCCCTTCAAGGACCAGGCGACGGTCCGGGTGATGATCCTCAACGCTGATGAGCCGCCGCGGTTCTCCCAGGCCGTCTACCACCTGGACGTGTCTGAGAACTGTCCCCCCGTCTGTGCCGTCGGCCGCGTCCACGCCGTGGACCCGGACACGGGACAGAGCAGCAACATCAGGTGGCCGACTCACCGTCGCTTACACACACATACACACACTCATTAGCTTCTTTACGCCTGCGATTCCTGACTGTTCCTCGTCCCGTATCCTAGGTACTCCATCGATCCGCAGTCGGACCCCGAGGCTTTGTTCCGCATCGCCTCCGACAAGGGCTTCATCAGCGCTGTGGTGGAGTTGGACCGTGAGCAGGAGCAGTGGCACAATATCTCAGTCATCGCCACACAGAGGGTATGATGGACCGCGCTGCCGCGGGGCGCCTGGAGCGCAAACGGTGGATTTTTCTGTAATAACTTGAACATTAGCGTTCATTTCCCCCCACTCCTCTTGTCTCCCTTCCAGACAACCCGAATCTTGTGTCGAGGCTGTGGTTGCCATAGAGACACTGGACCAGAATGACAATGCGCCGGAGTTGGACAGGCAGTACGCAACATCAGTATGTGACTCCAGCGCCCCGGGTCAGGTCTGTTCTTGTTCAGCCTCGGCCTGATGAAACATTTTACCCACTCAGTCTCTGCAGCCACTGTACTTCCTAATGTTTTGGGTTTTTTCACCCCTATAACTACACAATTAAAGCCTCCGCATCTTTATAAATGATACCAATAAGAAGAGCTAAACGTTTATCTGGCGCTGCAGTTTCTGAAACTGAACTAACTCGAGTGCAACATGCAGCCACTGCTGGACTCTGCTGATGCAATTAGATACTTTAAAGCGGAGGCAGAAATGTTGGGTTTGCATCAGCAGTGCTGAAGAAAAAGCTTTCTGTGGAGATGAGAAAAAGGGGATTGTCAGCTCCTGGAATGGCTTTTACTGCGAAGAAGTCAAACGCGTGAGCAGTCAAACAATGTGATTATGGGATCATTTCGCAGTTTGTCCACATTGCTTTGTTTTTTTGGTTTTCATTTTCTCACTCTGCTTGATTTTATCGTTATTGAGTGTGGCAGACCAACACCAGGAGCGGCATATTTGTGGAGTGAAATAGAAATCAAGCAGACTTTGACTAAGAGTAGCATTACTTCAGTAGTTTTACTGACTCGTTGTGCGATCCATTAGTAGCCGAAACTCAACATTTTGACCTCCCAGTTTGAAGAAGTCAACTGGAACGCTCAAGGAAGTCACACTCCCCACTCAGAACAGTGGGAGGAACTCTGACTAGTCCCAGTTACGATTTGCAAGACTTGTTGTTTCAATATGGCCGCTCCTCAAATCAACAGTAGCAAGGTGTGATGGAAACATTCTCCAGTCTGACTGAGCTACTGTGAGAAGAAGAATGTCGGTGTGAAGTTGGATGAGACAAACTCTTCTCCTGTAACTGCTGCAGAATTTGGTGCTGCAAAGTGCTGAGTTGGAGATGAATGAAAACACATAAAAGGTGACCTATTGTGCTTCCTTTAACAGGTTACAAATTTGTATTGGCTATGCAAAACATGTTTCTTAAATTTTTTGCAGAAAACCAGTCGTAGGTAATGAGATTCGATTCTGCCTGTTCCTTTCCCAATGATCTTTCTTTGGGCCTCCTGTCACTTTAAATCCAAATAAGCTGCTGCTGGCCACGGCCCCTCAACTCAACATTTACACTCGCACATGAAAATGGCTGCAAAACAAATGCGCAATTATGCATCTTTGAAAAGCAGAAGCGGAGCCTCCTGCACAAACAGTTGAATGGAGCAAGTGGTTTCTAAACGACAAGCCAACAACCAAACACTGGTCTCTTCCAGCAGCCATTGCACACAGCGCATTCAGCCGTACACTCTCACTGGAAAAAAGAAAATTGAGCTTCAGCTTCAAAAAATTTTGTTAATTTGTCACATGTAATGAAATTAAGTTTGTCAAGCTTACTTTATTTACGTTTGCTTAACATGGCAACTTAATAAACTTAATTTATTTACTTGGGTAAACTTAATTTGGTTACTTATAACAAATGGACTTTTCTTTTTCCTGCTGGCTCACCTATTTTCTTTTTTCAGTGCAGCTGACCAAAGATGCTGGAGCTTGTTGCCCTAGGTAGCGGGGCTGGGCTCCCCTGGGGTTGCTAGGTGACAGCAGTGCCTGTCTATTCCAAATTTGTATGAAACATCCAGACACCAAGAAACATGAACGTATTTTTTTATGTCCTTGGGTTGTTGTAGAAGCAGTAGAAACCCAAATGAAAGTACAAATGCGTGTAAATGTTTAATTTTGCATCCCAGGGCCACTTGAATGCTTGTAACTTGTAACAAGACATGCAGAAGTTCAACTTCACGGCACAAGAACAACAGATTATTCTCCGCCTGACTGTTAAACGACTTGTTAAAACGATCCTCCGGCTCTTTGCTCCACAGGTCGTCCCAGGTCCTCCGAGCGGTCGAGGGATCAGGGAGGACAGGACTCTCCGGTCCACTTCAGCATCCCTCCTGAGTCCAGCTCCGCCCTCAACCTCTCCATCAGAGAATCTGGAGGTTACCTCCCCCGCTTCTCCCTACAGCCGCTATTTCACATTTCAGGCAGAAATTGGACACCCGTCGATTAGCGACAAGAGAGCGCCCTGTGCTTTGCTGTGCAGTGACATGCTTGATGTGTTGTCACATCATCAGGTGTGACAGCCAGCCTGGTGCTGCAGTCGGCCTTGGAGCCGCTCCCTGGCTTCTCTGCGTCTCCCGCTCGCCCTCGACGTGCCGGTGGTGCTGCGTGACGGGGCCTCGGGGACCAACACCGGCACCGTCACAGTCACCATTTGCCCGTGTCTGCAAGGCGGCATGCAGACGGAGAGCCGGGGCAGGCAGCGGGACCCGCGGTGGGAGAGGCATGTGGTCTGCCTGCCCGCGCCGTCCGCCTCGCCGTCGCTCATCTTCAGCTTGGTCACGCTGCTCGCCATGCTGGCCTGTGTCACCACTCTGCTGGGTGAGTTCTGGGGGTGGAGAGGATTTGGTGCGACATTTCTGCTGGGGAAAAAAAAAAAAAAACTCCCAAGTATGTTTTTTTTTTTTCTTTTTTATTCTTTTGAGCGACTTGTATTTGGAAAAGACGCTGAGCGGTTGTGTCAGGCTTGCTTCTGGAACATCAGTGGAGTATGTGGGCATGTGTCTGTTCTTTGCCCTTTAGTGGTGTGTGCTCTCTCGCTGTCATTGCGCCATCAGAAGCGAGACTCCCACTCGCCCTTTGAGGAGGATGATGTCAGGGAAAACATCATATCCTACGACGACGAGGGGGGAGGGGAAGCGGACACGGCCGCCTTTGACATCGCGGCGCTGCAGAGCATGCACAGGATCCAGCACATGCACAACAGCGGGAACATGTGAGTCGCTCGCGCCGCGCCGTGGCTCCCGGCTGTTTGCGTGCGTGCTTGTTTTTCGATGGCTGTGATCTCTCTCTCTCTTTCTCTCTCTCCGTCGACACGCAGATGGTACACCCAGCAGAATCCGCCCAGAGCCAGGTTGTACAGCTGGAGCCGTCACCTGCGCCCGGCTCTGGGCCCCCAGCAGCGGCCCGGCTCGGCCCCGCTCTACGGGCGCCTCTGCTACGGCGTCCACACGCTTCCCGTTCCCAGAGACTACCCGCTCGGGCCGCTGGAGGAGGGCCTCCAGCTGGGCCAGGTGACCCAGGGTGTCGGGGCGGGTCACGGCGCCAATCGTCTCCTCGTCCCCGGCCAGAGAACCTTTGAGCATCTGCTGCGCTCGTCTGAGATGAGCCTCGGCGGCTTCCAAGTGGAGCATATGCTGGCAAAGAGCGCGGCCGCAAAGGGGAACGAGAGTGGCGGGGCAAATGCGGCTGGCGCCAAAGGGAAGGAGGAGCAGGCCAAGGTCAGAAAACGCTGCGGAGCAAAGCAGTTACTCACAGCTCGCTGTTTATGTTTTTTTTTTTTTGTGTGTTTTTTTGTTATGTTTTTGTCTTTGAACAAGTTCTAACATCATTAGGCCTGTGAGAGAAGAAAAGCAAGTATAAAAGTCATTAAAAGGTCAGCTTTCCTTACAGTATCAAACATTTAAAGGGATAGTTCAGGATTTTTGAAGTGAGATTCTGTCTAAAAGGTTCAAAGTGTACTGAGATAGATGCTCAGTACAGTTTGCACTGAGAATCTACTGAGCTATAAAACTGCTGTATAAACATAACTTAAGAGGAATTTGACTTCAAAATTTAACACCTTGAAATTGGGCCTCTGTCTCATTAAGAAGCTCCTGCTCTTTCTGAACCTTTAACAACGTTTTTAGGAGAGTTGCTCTGAGAAGTAGATGGTATCTGCGCTTGGCAGATGCCAGTCCAGATGTTGCTAGTTGCCTCTGGCTAGTCTGTAGGAGCCGAGCGGAGGGCAGCTCTGTGAGGTAGAAGCTCTGATGCTTGGAAACTGAAGCTCAGAGTAAGAGCTTTGTCCTCGAAGGCGGTGTGAGGTTCCATCCAGAATGGTTGCCGCAGGAGATTAAAGTATTTCTGAAACATGCATGAAATAATCAATATAACACAGCAGGTATGTTTTTGATAAGGAAATGACATTATAACATGACAAAAAGTTGAAAAAAGTCAATTTTGCCAAACATCTCCGCTTTAACAACCTTTATTCAAACGTTTTTCTCAGTAGGTTTTTCACCTACGCACGGTCTCCCACTGCCATTCCCCACATAAATAAAAATCAGCTTCCCTGTAAATAACTATAAACTGCAACAACCTTCCTGACACTCAAGGTAGTTTACGACAGTAAACGTCTGTCCCCCCTCTGAGACAAACTCATCTGGATTAATACTGAATGAAAAGTTAACCTGATGCAGCTACAACATTACGTGCTCATAAGACAGAACCTGCCTTAAAACTCATGAGCTGCATCAGTTTAAAATGCAATACTTTATCATCAAATCAATACACTTCTTTTATGTCAGGTGTATAATTTGGCCCACAGTTATTGGAAAAGATAACTGCAGCTTTAAATGATTGTATTTTACTGCAATGAATATATATCTACATATAAATCTTAAGTGTATGTATTCAGTAAGTAGAAAAATTAATTTTAAGAAATTGTTCAATTTTAGTGTTGCACCTTTGATTTATTAAATGTAATTTACGATGTTTTTTTTTAATGCTTTACGTTTTAGGTTGATTAGTTTCTATGGCTTTCTAACTAGAAACCTGTATTTATATACCACAGTGAAGATGAGTGGTAAAAATGTACAAAGCCAAGTTGCCAAGACTGGCTTTTTGGTCCAAATGTGGCCCATATCAGAACACCAGATCAGGGCCACTTAAATACAGCTGGGTACATGTCTGCTGTTTGTTTGTATGTGTTTTGGTCTTTAGCATTTAGTCTGGGGCACATTGACCCACCTTTCTCACTCCCGATACCGATAGCTGAGATTTCGTATCGGCTGATACCGATCCGATGCAGAACAACAGTTCTGAGTTTACTTAAAACGATACTTTTCTTTTTTTTACAACACAGACATAAATGTGCTTAATTAGAAATGTGTCAGATAACTCTGCACTAGTACAATACACTTAAATACACCAATAGCTTTGCAAGTTTGGTCAAACATGTAAAAATAAATTACATTTGTTCAGTCAGAGCAATTAAGAATGGAACAGCCAGTGTAAAATAATGTTCAGAGCCCTTATCTGCCCTTATGGATCAGACACATTGTCACCAATACCCAATCTGGGATGTTTTGGCTCTGATATCTGTATCAGAGCCAATCTTGCCAATATTAATATTGGATCGTGTATCACTAATTCAGTCCAAATTTGATGTTATTGAAGTATAAAATTTGACCAGATCAAATATAAACAGTGAATGAGTCACTGATGGAGCTGGTCGTCATTTTTACATGCAAAGATGTCTGATCCCAAGAAAAAAAAATCTGAGTTGATAAATAAAAATTTAAGTTTTTAAATCCTGCGATGTCTTGTGCCTGTTTTTTTTTTCCTCTCAAAATCCCTGGGAGTTTTATTGCAATGCATGACATCAGAGACTCTTTGGGACTATTTAGATAAAAATATGGTTGACTCTGTCAGCCAAATGAAAATGGTTTTCACTGGGTCCGTCAACAGAAAAGTGATCCTAAAGATTATAGCCCAAATCGATACAGAAATGGTTCACCAGAGGCAAAGCCCTCTTTCTTTCATGGCCACCTAAATCATTTGGAAAACCAGAGGGGTGAGATGAAGAAAAGAACATTTAAGATTGGAGTCTGAACTCTGGTCGATTTAGAGAAGTAAAAGTTCAGATAAAGGCTCACGTCGGGACCTAGTTCTCGTTCTGTTGACGAGAGAAACATGGGCAAAGTGTGGGCTCACATAAATATTCCAGGAATGCATTTTTCTCCCATTTGCAATAAATCACAAGATAAGACAAAAATTATTTTAAGGCCTTTCTTTTACATCCTCAACAGGAGTTCCCATGAATGTAATGAGCGCCGCATAAAGACGGCTTTAGACTGATTAAAATTTATGGAGCCCAGGCGTGGCGGAGCTTCGCGTTAATGCAGCAGCCCGTCTTTCAGGCGTATTTGCATGTCGGCGCTGCCGTAATCAATCATTTGCATATAGGAGCATTGTTTATTGCTTGATGTGGCAATAAAAACAACAGCCGGGGCAGAAGCACTTCACCAGCCGTTAAACCGAGGCTGTCATTGGAGGAAGTGAGAAAATAAAGCAGGTTTTATTAGGTGGCCTCAGCTGTGAAATCACAGACAGACGAACGGAGAAAAGAGGCTTGTGGCAGCAGTATATAAAAAATAAAGCATTAAAAAAAATCACTAGATCTTCAATATTGTCATTCTTATGTGTGGCTTCAACTATTTATAGTGCATTCCAAATAAAATCTACATAGATAAAAACAAAAAACAGAATAAATAACCTGATGAGACTTTTGCACCAACTCAATTACTTAAAGTATAGTTTGTGCATACTCTAGTGTGTGTATGTTATAATAAAAAAAATAATAAAAATGATACCCTTAATAAGAAATGCAGAGTCTGTGAAATTAGCTGTTTCATATTATGGTAAATTTTTGTCGCTGTAGTACATATTTTTCATTTTAACTTTCGCATCTCAAGCTCGAGTGCTCTAAAAAATGTGCGCGCACGATCGGGCATGTGTATCAGACGGGCGACGTCGTCACCACACATTCGTCTCTGTCAAACAGAAAATGCCGGATGATGAGGTTGGTGCACCGGGGAAGTCATAATCGCATACGAGGTGTGGGGGGGGGAAAAATTACGAAAGTGAAGGGAAGGAAAAAACAAACACCTCGGCCAAAAAGATGTTGGTCCAATCAGAACATGAGGGGATCGGATTAGATGTGCGTCTTAATGAGTTCAAAGGTTCTCGACAGTCACCAAGTGAAACGGTTTATTGATAAAAGCAACAAAATGGAGCTGGAAGATGTTAAGGAAAATCTAGAAACAAGAGAAGTTACACTGCAAGGTCAGCAGAGTCTGGAAGTATTTTCACCTGGTAGCTGATGACAACAGGACGTGTCTGTCTCTGTCCTTTTGCATGGAGTACTGCATTGCTGGGTCTTGTTTCTATCATCCTGTTCCTGACAGTGCTCCATATATCCTCTGTGGGGTTCAGGTCGGCTTATATTGCTGGTATATCAACCCCAGTAATGTTCTCGCCGTTAAAGCGGCTGTTGGGAAGTGTTGGCTGCTGCCAAATCCTGCTTGAAGATGAAATCAGCGTCTCTGAAAGCTTGACAGCAAAGGAAAGCAGCAGATCACAGGGCTCCACAGATCATTACTGACAACCCGGGTTCTGTGGTTCTGCGCTCTTTCTTGGCATTCTGCGACCTGGAAGTCCAAATTCAATGTGGAATTCACTTTCCTCTGAAACAGGTCCTCTTGTTTTTCTCCTTAGCCCAGGTGAAGAACATCTTATGTCGTCTCTGGTTAAAAACGCAGCTGCAGCTGAGGTGGCGATGACTGCGGCTTTGGAATCTCCCAAAAAACTTTTCAAAGGGTTTTCCTTCACAATTCTGCGTACAATTCTTTACGTATGTTGTCTTTCCACTTAAATGTCAGACTAGCAGGACCTGGACAAATGATCAGGAAGCCCAGATGGTGATCAAGAGCAGCATGTAGAGGATGTAATATATGTGAATGGAAATGGTTATGGGGACATACTGCTGATCTGACATTTGTCCTTTTATGTATTTTTCTGTTTTTATGTATTTATTTATGGTCATTGTCCTTTTGGATGAGCTTTTAATGTATTGCAGTTTTGCTCCTGCTTCCAAGATAAATGTCCTCCTATCGGAGACTAATCAAATGATCTTATTTTCATAAAGTAGAGCTGAAGCGATTAATCAGATAAGTTATGATGAGTCGTGATTAATCGATTATTGGAATATAAAAAAGTTCAAGTCATATTTTAAAATACTGTACCGATCCTACAGTGAAATGAATTGTTGTTGCAACTCATCAATTCAGATTCTTCAGAGATGTTGTAGGTGGAGATGGGAAAATGTCTCGTGTAGCAGTCTGTGTTACAGTGAATTTGAAGAACCCTCTGACTGGAGACGCTCTGAAAAAGAGGATGGTCAGGGTTGTCCATAATTTTCTTGCCCTGATGTAAAACTCTTTGAATCGTCATCTCCAGGGGTTGGAGTAGTTCCTGGAACATAATCGGTTATTGTCCAGCATAATCGATTATGCTGGACTCTAAAATGAATAACTTTTTCTTCATTTTTACAATTAATTGCCACAACAATCAATAGAATAATCAATTTCTAAAATAGTCCTTATCCGTTATCTTCACTTCCTGTGTATTCAACTGGCTGAACTGAGTCAGTCGATTGACATGTTAGTTTATTGAGATGCTTTGAAGTATTTTTGGCTTCCTCTGACTCGCCTCATCGCTGCCTTTCCTTCTCCAGCCGAACCCGACGGGCCCGGAGTCGACAGCCGCCAACGTCCCGGCAGACCTGACCTACGAGTCGTCGTGCCAGAGCCACACCAGCTTCTCATCGAACCAGCAGGATGGCCGACCGGGGTCATCCCAGACCCAGGTCAGCACCGGCGCCACCAGCACCACGGCGGACGACATCGACACCGACTCCTCCATCCCCTCCATGTCGGAGCAGAACTACTCCACTAGTAGCCAGATGAGCAGCGTGAACTCCCCCCTATGTCAAGGCAGACTCCTACAGCATAGTGGGCTCGCTGAACCCGGGCGGGATGGGGGTGTGCATCAATGGGACCGGCGCCGGCGGCGGGTTGCAGCTGCTCAACATGGCAACGCTGAAGGCCAGAGACGCGCCCCTGCAGACTTTCGGCGACGGAAAAGCCCCAGCGTCCGAAGCCCCGAACCCTCAGCCGCTCCGGATGGAAGAACTCCTCACATCCGCTTGGACCGGGTCACCTCGGACCTGTCGCAGCCGCCCTACGACTCGCTGCAGACTTACGAGTTCGAGGGCCGCGACTCCAGGGCCGAGTCGCTGAGCTCGCTGGAGAGCGACGGCGACAAGGAGGGCGAGCGGGCAGCGGGGGGAGGCCTGGACGAGCTCAACCAGAAGTTCCAGAGGCTGGTGGAAATCATCCGCGAGAGGCAGAAGGAGAAGAAGAAGACGACGACACAGAGCGGCGAGGCGGCGGAGACCACAGAGACTCAGAGACAGGGCGAGGACACAGAGAAACAGCTGCAGAGATGGGATTTCTAGATCCCTGGAAGAGACGAGCGTGAGCGAAGAGGAAAATCTTTGATAATGACGGAGTTTAAACACACACAAACACGGGGGAAAAAACATTCCTCTGACACAAATGAGCTTTCCATTTTCTCCCTGACGTCAAGAATCAAGGCAAACCGGAGCGCAGATCTGTGATCAGTGTGTAGCTTTCACTTTCACCGGGTTTAGAAACGGGAACCCGTCACTTTTCACACCAAACATTAATAATGCAAACAGGGCTTTAAAAGTTAGAGATATAAATAATGTTTGTTTTTATATATTATATATATATATATATACAAAGCACCAAAAATTGTTGGAGAATATGTTCTATCAAAGAGTGAATAGTTATTTAAGTCAGTATGTGGCGTTTTTTGGCTCCAAAACTGGAGACGCCACATGACTAAAATGACCAAAAATATTTATATCCCTTAAATCTTTTCACCTTACAGCAGGGCTGGATAATAAATCCATAACAAAATCACGGTAGACACATGATCAATATCAATCGATAAAACATCTGATAGAATATTCAATATATAGAATATTCACTGAAGCAGAGGAAAGGTTTCGTCCATCGTCGTATCGTCCAGCTCGATCAGCAACAAACTTCGGTGTGTTTCACTGAGATTTTGCGTGATAGGTAGACAGTAACAATTTGTCCCAGAAGTCATTGCGGTAAACAACAATATTGTTGTTCGACTTTTTTTCATGCAATATTGTGGTAATGGCATAATAACGCTGAAAGATCAAGAAACATTTAATTTCTAACCGCCATTTAATTGTACGATGTCAAAATAAATAAATCCGAAACAACAAATAAAACGGCTAAAGATGGATGAGAAGCGATCTGGTAAAACGATCCGCTTTGGCTTAAAACGCTTATGTAGTAGGAAAGGGACCCTGGAAATTATCCTGAACGCATCAGGGTGCAGACAGTCGGGGTCAGAGTTCATGGGGAGATACAGGAAGCTGAAAAAGAGTTGAAGCAGTAGAGGTTCACCCTCCCGATTTCACACCCTCACAGTGAAATCGTTTAGCTCTTTTGCCATGATGGCTCAAAGTCAAAACCTCAATCCAAGAATCTCCGGCAAGAAAATTGCTGCGTAAAGACACAGCGTTTAAGCTATTTTGAAGAGAACGGGAGAAAATGTCTCTAGACGTGCAAAGCTGGTAGATTTATGAGGTATTAACTCACCATGGACGGACACTGAACTGCATTATTTGCAGAGGAATGTGAAACGAGTGTGCGCTGAAAAAAAAATCACACTGAAGCTTGTGGTTGGAAGGTGACAAAAATGTAAAAAAGTTTAAGGGACGGATACTTTTGTAAGGCACAGCAAGTCCCCTCTGACGACATACATTAACTATGCTCAAAATAATAACTGTCCAAACAAAACCTGTTCACTTTGAACATCAACAATCAATAGGCTGAGTCTATCAGTGACGCCTGTGTTTTTGCTAAAGGAAACAAAAAAATAGGTAATTAGCATCCATATGCAGATAAACATTAAGCTCAGCTGTGGATGTTTGTTGACCGGACAGAGGTTTTTGGGCCCTATTTTTGTCGGACACAAGAAGCGGTAACGAAGCGAAACATGGAGAACCTGCACTAGATGATGTTCACCCACACAAGAATTATTATATCCCCCCCGTATTGTGTGTCTGCAAGCTTCCTCACCTTCTTGTAAAGAGATTTATGCAACACAGAGCGCAGAGACATTGTTCTTGTGACGGCCCCAAGACGCAGAAAGAACAAAAAAAAAAAACCTCTTCATTTGCTCCGAGAATACTCAGATGTTATTCAACCCTTTGACAGGGCCTCATTTTTAAAGCAATTTTTAAAACGCATTCATTATTGAGGAAGGTGCCGGAATAAGTTATTAGAAATAATGACATTATTTTTCAATATGTGATAAAAAATGAATTTGGCTCCCCGCAATTGTTCCCACTCTTCATCCGCTGTGGGAATTCATCTCTTAATCATCTGTCGGTCTAATGGGATTGGAAGCTTTCAGACTCGTTTTGAAGGCACATATTTTTTATTTTTTCCCCCATGTATTTGCTTCCTTAAGTTTTTGTTGATGTTTTTTTAAAGAAGAATGCAGAGACAAGGAAGAGGGCCAACAATGCCACAGTCACCACCACGCAGCTCATTGTCAGAACGCCGTGAGCATCTTTAGACATAATGCTGCGGTCTGCGGATGGAAATGACCAGCCATATCACGACAGAAACCCATTTAATGTGGAACTGGGCTGCTTTTATACAAATACCCCAGCAGTTGTCAGTCGAGAGTAAATGCCAAAAACTGAATTTCAACTGTGTTTTAGAAAAGAAAAAAAAAATGTCTTATTTATGTTTAAAAGGGAGAAAAGTCCTAGATATCAAAGCAAGTCTGTGTCGGTTCAGTCATAGGTCGAGAGAACAACGCTGCCACCTACAGGCAACAGGTAGAATACCTTGTTAATCCTTCAGGAGGAAGGGACGCCATGATGGATTTGACCTAAATATTCCTGGCATTCGGCGCTTACGCTGGAGAACCTGAGGAACTGGGCTAAAATACAGAGGTAGGAAGGCCTGACAGCTTTTTTTTCTCATTGAAAAACAAACCACAAAAAATAAATAAATAAATAAAATCAAGTACGTATGAATTTTTGTCACTTCAGCTCATAAAACTTCATTTTGCTCTAACGAAACAGTTGTGGTTGTGATTTCTTGCGCAGCCTTCGGCGACAGTCAGAGATGTGTTCAACAATAAAACGTGTGGTGAAAATGAAACCTGTTGGGAGGTTTAGTGGATAAATGCATTTATTCATAGTTTGCTGCTCCAGTTGGTTGCTTTTGGTGCCATCCGTTCCATTTGACCCAGAAGGAGGATTCTGGATATCTTGGACTCTTCACATGTCTAAACAACATGATTATCGCTGCTCCGGGCTCCAACCACATTGTGAACTAAAGTTTGTAGAAATAGGTGGGGAGGGGGAGACCTTGATGTGAACCATGTGAATGTTTTGAAACCAAAAAAAAAAAATTCACGCAACGAGTCTTCACTCCATTAACGAAACAACCACATGTATTGTTAGTTTTACGCACAATTAAATAAAGTTTCAGATTTAATCTGCGGGATTTTTTATTTTATTTTTTAAACTTCTGCCCTTTTAAAGTCCACAAGGAAAAAAAAAACCCTGCTGATTCACTGTTCCATGTTTTTTTTTGGGACAATAACATCACAGGAGGAACAAGCAATTTTAGAAATGTTTCTACGGAGTTGGAGGTGGACTCAAAAATATGAAACTCTTCCTTAAAGGATTTTCTGCAGTGAGTTCTGAGAAGGTATCAGTAATAGTTTGCTTATCTGTAGAAGAAACGTGACCCTGCAGGGAGCTTGAAGAAAAGCAAATAAATTCTCAAAAGGAAGGAAACTTGACATATTTGGCAGATAGACTCTCCTATCAAGCTCACAGTTGAAAGGGAACTTTTATTTATACAAATGTTTGCTGAGCCTCACTTTAAATTTGTCATTTATACTTGTTTTTTAAGGTGCATCGATCATTTGGAGTCAAAAACGCCGGGTTTAGATTTGGAAAAATGGGGATGTTTGGTTAGACGCTTCAGCTGCTCTTCTTCGACACAGCCCGGTTTGCGCCTTTGCTTCAGTTTGGACATTTCTTTTAAATTATTCCTTTCAAAGCTGCAGATTGAGTTCTTGGAGTGACAGATTGTGGGCTCCACACAGCAGTTAGCAGACGGTTTTCTGAGTTATATGCCACTTTACTTCCCCACCCCTACAGCTATCTTCCCAATCAGGCTCTCTCAAGCAGTTCTTGATTCGGAATTTAATTTGGATGAACAACCAGGCAGAATTAGTCACCGCCGTCCTCGGAGCGACCGGAGGGAAGTCCTCTTTCGAATAAAACGGTGGAGCTTCGAGGATGTGATGCTTCACATTGGCAGAGAAACAGCGGTGCATCGATGCATATGCAGAGTGATTTAAACCAACAGCATCTTTTTTTAATATATATATAAAAAAGAATAATAATAATGTCATTCTGTTTACTTTTTCAGATTCACTTTATTTTGCTCACTTTTCCAGTCATTCATAAATAAGGTCACAAAGCAATTGCTTTGTGAGGGCTAATGTTAGCATGTGGGCTATCACTACCGTTTAGAGCGATTAGCATGCTGACACTACCAGTAGGTCGAGGGTCATCACCAGAATGTTGACAAACACTGACATACTCCATTTAGCATGTAAAACTTAGATTTTATGTGAAAATGACGTTAATGTTAGCATAACAACTGTCAGCAGCATGTTGACTTACATGGTAGTTACAAAACATAGCTACATAGTTACAAATGTTAGCATTTCATGCTAACAAATGAAATGTTAGCATTTTATGCTAACAAATGAAATGTTAGCATGAGGGCTATCACTACCGTTTAGAGTGATTAGCATGCTGACACTACCAGTAGGTCGAGGGTCATCACCAGCATGTTGACAAACACTGACATGCTCCATTTAGCATGTAAAACTTAGGTTTTATGTGAAAATTACGTTAATGTTAGCATAACAACTGTCAGCAGCATGTTGACTTACATGGTAGTTATAAAACATAGCTAACAAATGAAATGTTAGCATGAGGGCTATCACTAGCATGTTGAGTGACTCGTGAGTGGCATTTTGAGGCTCCCATTTGGTTGAGTTATCGTTAGCATGTTCGCTAACATAAAATTAGTTTGTAAGTTAAAATTGGCACAAAAAAAGATTTATGGGGCATAGTGTTTTTCAACTACATTGCCATGGTAACTCAAAATGGCAATAGAAGTTTTTTTATTCTTTATTTACTTTATTTCAAACAAATAACATACATAGAGGGTCTTTAACACAAAGACATGTCACAATCTAAAAAAAGTAATAATAAACGGACATCGATTGTTGGTTCAGAATGAAAAAAATAAAAGTTAATGAAATATACACATATATTGGTCAATTAAAACAATGTGTAATTTTTCTACTATTAGCAAAAAGTGTCAAAAATATATTCAAATACATGCAATACAAGGCTCCATTATAGCAGAAGAAAAATAAAATTAACAAATATGACAGAGGGATCTGCTTATGAGATAGTTAAATTCCTGAAGAAGAGTCAATGTTTTTACACGTTTCATATCATTAAAGTTACGTTTTTCAACAGAGGCAACATACGTTTTTAAATCGGTTTCTTTAAAAATTTTGAAAGAGGGCTTTTTTTTCTTCACTCCATCATATGGACATAATTTTTTTTATAAATTTTTTTAGAGAGATTAAATCATTTTAATTGTTGCTGTTTTGTTTGTTTATTTTATATATTTAAATGCCTTCCAGCGTTGCTTATTTTCCATCTTTTTAATTTCTAATACATGAGAACCAGGACGGTTCCGCCGTTTAGATCCTGTTTAAAATAATCTCTTTAGATCATGAATCTTTCTGTAGCTAAATCTCGATATTTGCTGGACTTCATCGAGCACTCGGTTCTACGGTTTCACGGGTGAATCGTCCGCACGCGCAGTGTGACGTCACGCCGATTTATTGCCCGTTCGCTCGAGAAGTCAGAGCCGAAAGTTCAAAGCTCGTAGATCTTCCAAGGAAGATTGAGGGATTCTTCACGAAATTCTCTCGCAAGCATTCGACAAAGGTCGCTCCAACGCCACAACAGCAGAAAATGTCTTCCACTGAAAAGATGGCAACACTGGACAGCCAGATGGGAAGAGACAAAGTCTGCAGGAGATTCTGGCATTCAGCCACCTGAAGTGAGAGAGAAAACTCCCCCCATACCGTCCCCTGAGAGCCTTTGTTCATCCACAGATCCCGTCAACCGAAGATCTGCAGGAAGTAGAATCAGAACTGGAGCCAAGGTTTGATGAAACTTCTCCGGTGGAGCGCTTCATTCCTCCAGGTGACTTATCTAGTGTTGCAGAGCCAGAAAACTGTCCCTCCAAAGATATGCAGGAACAGGTGTTAGAACCAAAGTGATCATTTGGGCTGGACCCTTCAGTAAATATCTGATTTTACCTTGCACAATAGAATCGACTTATAACCTCAAAATACAAATGGTTTCAGTGTTAAATTAAGCTAAAGTCAAGTCACTTGACTTGAACAACTTCTGAAGCTTTGTCAATAATGCTGTCTTACCTCAAGCAGGGAAGCTCTAATGGTGACATCTTCAATCTTGCCTTCGGTGTCAGTTGTTGATCCTGTGAGGTGCTGGTATCTCCATGGATGATCGACGTGGTAATTTGCTTTAGGTGTTGGTCAACTCTAATCGCGTGACATGAGTTAATGGAAAAATCAAAAACAGCGAAAAGAAAATGGGGTTAAATAAAGAAAGGCAATATATACGAAGAAAGAACAGTTTTTGACATTTGGCCACAAATTCATCCATATTTAAAATTGTTTTTTGGGTAAAAATATGTTTTCTTACTTT